AAATGTAACACTAGTGATTTCATATTTTATTCAAATTCTGAAATGTTAGCTCTCTTCACACTGGTATTCTACAAAGGCATGAATTATATGCCCTGGTGCCAAATCACTTAAAACAGTCACTGATAGCTTATGACAATTGATGGAGCAGAGTAGTTATGTTTAGTATTTCTCTTTGGTTCTGTTTCTAATACAACTAGTCTCATGGTAATTGCTTTGTTGGTTGGCTTTTGGCTTGCAAACAGATACCGAATGATGGTGATGGAATATTCCATACCTACCTGTCACCCCTCTGGGAAAATGCATTTTTTTACTCATAATCACCTCTTAACCAATCAACATCTTAGTTTCAGCAAACTAGGTTTTTCATTGGCTGAGACCTTAAAACTGTAGCAAGTTTGAGCTAAAATACCTTTTCCCGCATACCGCTTTTTGGAGCCGATTCTGAGACCACAAACTCAATAAAAAGAAGCGTTTCGATTCGATTCAAACAGTCAGAACTTCAACCCTGGAGAGATGCTAAACAAATCCACGCTAACCGAAACTTTGATCTAACTACACTTTTCACACACTAATTCTTCTGACTTGACAAACAGCACTTTGCTCTCTCAGGAACATTACTTACAACATACTAAAGAAAGTGAATTGACCCACTACTAAACAGCATTTGTAAATCTCAATCCAACATCAAGACAACAGCTAAAGGTACACAACTCTTACAAACTTTGAACAGTAACTTTAACAAACGCACATATACGCAGTAGTGACTGAACTCCCACAAAATCATTTTGCAATAAGATAAAACATCTTGTTTAATTTCATACACAAATCCTAACCACAAGCCTACACACATTGAAACTCAGAATAATCCTTCTACATATTTTATTACAACTGGTCACATTTGATCAGCAATATCTATCTTGATTGTGTATGTTCAATTGATATAAAAATGAATGTTATTTGTTAAACCTTTAATCACGTTGTCCTCATTTTTGATTCCTCCTTGATTTTACCTTTCAATGTTCTTATTTTTATATTTGCTGTGAATGAATGTCTTGCGAACACCTACATTTCTAAACCTTCTGATAACCTAACCTGATACACAAAATACATTCGCCAATCTGCAACAATGGAAGGGAACAACAAACAAAACGAAGACTTGAGTAAAAAAACATATATTTTCAACTTTATTTTTGTTAAAGAAAATACTGTTAAGGGGTCCACCCCTTTTTCATACAAGTGGATTCGCCCGGTGTGTACTTGGACTGCTGCTGGTGAATACCCGGAAGTTAGACGAGAGATACACTGATAGTGTGATACAGTGAGAGAGTAAGAGTGTGAGGTAACCACTTTGTAGGAGTCACAGTTGTGAGCACGTAGACTCAGAAGGAAGTCATACTTCGATACTGAATTTCCCAGACTGTATATATATATATTATTGCTACTAACCGCATTTCTGGATCTACTAACTGTATTACCAATTGTATTATTACGTCAATACATTTATTTGCTATATTTCATTCTTGCATTTGTCATTCATTTGAGACCGGATTTCATCCCAGAATCCAAAACAAATACATAAAAAAACATAAGTCTCTAGGCAAAAAATATCTCTGCATGTTTATGTAAAGGGTGAGAAGAGTGTTGTCCTGAAAAGGACAGGTTGTGATTGCTGAGTGTTGTCCTGAAAAGGAGTTTACTGCATACTGTTGCTGGAGATGGCAGGAGTGGTGAGAGTTGGAGGCCTGCTGGAGTTGCAGCTGATGGCTACCTGGAGCTGCAGCTGATGAAGGCTGTCTAGAGCTGCAGATGATTATGGCTTACTGGAACTGCAGATAATGACGGCTTACTGGAACAGCTGCTGGTGGCTGGAGCCATGGGTTGGCTAATGGAACAGATACTACACTTTGATCCTCATCATCTGAGGAAGGCATTATTTATCCTGGTCTCCCCACTGAAATGAGATGTGACACAAAGTCAGGTTTAATGTGGGGAACACGAGCACATACACTCGAGCCAGATACAAAAATTGCTCAGCCTCCACAACTTTCACTTGTGTTGGCATTGGTGTGACTACCAATCTCTCCTATCTGATGCAATGAGGTGTAGCAGTTGTTCCTCAGGACCAGGTACCTTTCAGTATTCTATTTTCTGCATTGCTGCCTGTGAACAAAGCAACAACTGAGTCACAATCTGCCCAAAGACAGAGATGCAGCTGAAAGATGATAAGCCACCTTGGCATGGGCTGAGGAAAGGTGATTTACTTGAACCCCCACAGAATCAGGTTGTGACACAAGGTTGGTTTAATGTGAGGAATCCAAGTGTGTACCCTCGGGTAAGGATAGAAATTCCCAGAGCCCCCGCAACCGTTGATTGCAATGGCCTTTCTATTTTCGTGTTTTTTACAATTAAATTTTCCTTAGCATGCTTATTTGTAGTTGTTTGTTAAGATGAAAAGAAATGTGATTTCTCACGTGTATGTGTGATAAAGAAGAGGAGGAAAGTGTAAGTGTCATGTAGCTTGGTGAGGAAGACGGGTGAATGAATAAGGGAATTTCTTTTAAGCCGAGTGTCTGTATCTCCTTACTGGTTTGTCTGGTCTAGAAACTTTGCTTAAATATCCTTCAAAAGGATAACAAAGCATATTTTTTACTTTTGGTGTGAATGTGACCTGTAGGTTGAAAAATGTAAAATATTTATTTTCAAAGCATTAATTTATTAACTGGAAGAATGTGCAAATCCTCTGTTTTTTATCTAATGTTTGACTGTGTTGTTTATTTCCATCTTTGTTCCACAAGAGAATGAGAAGACTTTAGAATGAACTGGAAACATAATCCGAAATAGGAAACAGGGGATAAATGACTGACGATAGGCAAAGGTATATACTCCTATTGAGAAAAAAACATGAATAAAAAATAAATAATAAATGACAGAGTTTAGGCTGAGACATTAGAAGTATAGAATTGAAGTAGACTTTAGATGGAGCCAGAAATCCAATCCTTGCTGCCAGATGTAGTTTATCATCATACCAAAGACAATGCAAAGATGGTGAAGGATTTGTATGCATCCCATCCCAGGTGCATTGAAGCAATTATTCAAGACACTTGACGTCGCACAAAATATTAACAATATGCATTAACTTCTTGAAATCAATATTATATAATAAATTTTTATCACAGATATTTTTTCTGTTTTAAAACATAGCGTCTGACTTGGTTTACATGAGATGATTGGAATTTTTGCACAGTCATTTTTGGGTGACATTTCATATCTTCTCTCCTTATTCAGAAAAATTGGTAAAAAATATAATTAAGTGTGAAAATGGCTCCAATATGGCCAAATGTTCATTTGTAGACAATATAAAAAAGGCTACATATAAGACAGCAATTATTAGAAATTTACAAGAGTTTAAAATGGCTGACTTTTGCACAGTACTGTGTACAATACAAATACACAAAATGTAAGATTTTTGACTGGTCCATCTTTTTGCCTTCATCTTCTGGTTGTTTTACACTCTGCAACCTCTAAGTCAGCTATACAGACCAGAAATAAAGAAGTAATCTCTAGTGAGATTTGAACTCACATCTCATGTCTTTGAAAGCCCAAATCTGACAGATTTGGTCACAGAGAATCATCATTAGGTGATATTCAGATCTGTATCCTTATTTTATTGACCCATCTTGGTGACACACATTTATTGTCCTTTCTGACTGTAATAAAGGCTTTTCTTGTTCAGGTTTTTGTTGTGGCCTTGTTAGGGACAGAAATAAAGACACAACAGAAACAGTAATACAAATGTTACAGCAAGAATGTTCGGTCCGACTGTCAGAGCTGACTGCTGGAAACTTCCCTCTCCAAAAGGCAGTACCTGCTCCTATTTATAGCTGGGAAAGTCCATGTGTGCATGGGTAAATTACCATAAAAGTTTTCAATCTTCACTGTTTACATTATTCAGACTATTGTCCTCATCTTTGTCGCCATATTTATTGTATGCTTCAGTGATTGGAATGTCAAACTGAACCCTTTATTTCGCTCACTGGGGTAGATTGTTCTAGTTCCACATGCCATGTTTAATGGATGTCAGTTATCAATTATCTCCTGTTAATTCTCCTCTGAAAGTTCTCCACCACCTTAACCAGGTATTGAACTAACAACTCTTTGGGTCCTGTCACTGGATCTAACTAATGTCTTTATCCACTGTGCCACGTGTCCTTGAGGATATCTGTGTATGAATTTCTGGGTATTATAAACCTAATGTCATCAGCCTCCATTTTTTACCAGTGCTCATATTGCAATTTTTGCTGTTATCATCACATGTTTTTACCAGAGCTCATATTGCAATTTTTGCTGTTATTATCGCTTTTCTCTGACACTCCTTATTACTGGTTCTCATATTGTATTCATTTCTATGCTTGGTTGGCTCAGGAGATTTTTGTGGCCTAGCATATGTGCTGATTCATTAAGTTTACGAATTTTCCAATGGTGTTCTTTGTCTATGATTTCAACCTGATCCTACAGAGGGCGGTAATCTCCCTTCTTTCTTCTCTCCATAGACAAAGAACACCATTGGAAAATTCGTAAAAATTTTGGAACTACTTTTAAAATAAATTAAGCTACTTATGTGAAGAATCAGTTCAAAATTTAATTGAACTGGCTGGACTTTAAAATGCCTTCTGATCCATTACTTGTAAACAACCCTGAAATCAAGACAAGATGACCAAGAAACTGTAAGTCATAAAACTTCACTCAGCATGTATTGCTCAAGGGAGATAAAAACTGTCCTTGATATGCCTCATAGTGAAGACAGTGAACAAAGGAATTTCATCAATATATATTGAAAAACCAATAACTCAGCAGCATCATAATTGTGATGCCAAATTTCACTTTGAGAATTTGGAGATGAAACATAACAAGGTTCCCAAATTGTTTTTGATAAAATCATAATATCAAACCAGAAATCAATATTGGAATGTTAAATAGATCAATAGAAAGAAAGGAGCAAAATGAAACGACCATCTTTTCTTCCATCATGTCAGTTTGTTTCCCTTTCTCTCTCTCTCTCTCTCTCTCTCTTTCTATTATTTTGCCTTTTATCTATACCTAACTTTCCAATCACTGAAGTTCTTTCCTTTTCAGTCTCTCTCTTTCTTTATTTCTTTCACTCTCTCTCTCTCTCACTTTTGTTTTCTTTCTTCCCTGTCTCTATTTCTCTCTTTCTTCCCCCCTCCCTTTATCCTTCTCTCTCTCTCTCTCTCTCTCTCTATATATATATATATATATATATATATATATATATATATATATACTCTAGCAGTAGAGTCTGGCGTTGCCCGGGGATGTAACAGTAAGAGATAGATCAAGTATCGACCATCATAAAGACTGAAAAATAAAATTGACAAAGATTATTGTTTAAGGTTGATAGACACGCATGTCTTAATTAGTTTTTTTTTTTTTTTTTTTTACGAATTGGTCAAACCCAAACTCAAACAAAAACATTGTTTTCAATCGTTATGAGTCTACCGATTGAATAGAATTTTATGATAAACAATTGTCTTATAAATGGAATTTTAAAAGCATTCTGAATGTAAAAATAAAGAAAAAAGTGTGCAAGACAATAAGAAACACTACCTGCCAAAAAAAAGTGAATTTTTGTTGAAATCGGTTGAAAAATGTAGGAAATCCGATCCCATATATAAATGAACACACACACACACACGCACACACACACACAAACAACCTGGGTTTTATAATAAGTATAACTTGATATGAGTTGTCCCCCTTTCATTCTGGCGATGCCTCTTAATTGTGTTTTCAAATTGATTTTGTGCAAAAACAATTGTGTTTTTCCAATTTTTGGCGCTGTCAGAACCACCGCAAGGTAATTTTACGTAGTCCTGTGAAGTTTTGTTGAAATCGGTTGAAAAATGTAGGAAATCTGATCCAATATATAAACGTACACACACACACACACACACACACAACCTGGGTTTTATAATAAGTATGATATATATATATATGTATGTATATATATATCTTTATTTTCCATTCTCCCTTTCTTTCTCCTCCTCTCTCTTTCTTTTCTCTCTCTCTCTCTTCCCTTCCCCTCTATTTTTCTTTCTATCTCTCTTTTCCTCTCTCTCCTTCTTTCTTTATTTCACACTCTCCCTTTCTTTTTCTTTTTTCTTCTTTCTTTCTTTCTTTCTTTCTTTTCGTTAATATATATATTTATTCTTGTTTGCCTCTCATTTTTTTTCCCACATTTTTCTTTCCTTTTACCTTTTTTTCAGTTTTTCTCTTTCTGTCTTTGTGCTTTCGTTTTTACTTCCTTTTTTTTTTTCTCGTTCACCATTCTTTCTTTCTTATTTCTGCCTCTCTCTCTCTCTCTCTTTCTGTCTCTCTTTCTCATTTTATTATTCTATGCTTTACCTTCTCTATACCTAACTCCCACAGTCTCCTATGATCCTCCTTTCTTTCTTTCTTTTGCTGTTTTTGTCTTTCTGTCTCTCTTTCTCATTTTATTATTCTATGCTTTACCTTCTCTATACCTAACTCCCACAGTCTCCTATGATCCTCCTTTCTTTCTTTCTTTTGCTGTTTTTGTCTTTCTGTCTCTCTTTCTCATTTTATTATTCTATGCTTTACCTTCTCTATACCTAACTCCCACAGTCTCCTATGATCCTCCTTTCTTTCTTTCTTTTGCTGTTTTTTGTCTTTCTGTCTCTCTTTCTCATTTTATTATTCTATGCTTTACCTTCTCTATACCCCTAACTCCCACAGTCTCCTATGATCCTCCTTTCTTTCTTTCTTTTGCTGTTTTTGTCTTTCTGTCTCTCTTTCTCATTTTATTATTCTATGCTTTACCTTCTCTATACCTAACTCCCACAGTCTCCTATGATCCTCCTTTCTTTCTTTCTTTTGCTGTTTTTGTCTTTCTGTCTCTCTTTCTCCCTCTTTCTCTGTCTGTTATCCTGTTTCTTACCTTATCTCCAAATTACCTAAGGTCTTTCTTTTTGCATTTTTTACCTTTCTCTCCCTCTCTCTCTTTATTTCACTCTTAGGTTGAAAGCCATATCACCGGTTCTGATCACCAAAGTTAAACAACATCAATCTTGGTCAGATATCAGATACTGTACGCTTGGGTATGCGGTTGGTGTAATGGCTGGCAATTCTAAATTGGAGAGTCAAGTTCCAATTCCAGTTGGGTTCATTATATTCAATTACATTTAATTACCGTTGGGAAAGATATGAAGCCACTTCTTCTCTTCGGCTATGGGTTAAATAGTAAGACTAATTTAAATAAATCATCATTATCTTCAAAATATTCATATAATCCTAAAATATTTCCTGGCTTTAAATAACCTGCAAAAGGTTGATAAAGCATAAAAAATAAATCAATGAATCAATCAAATATCTCTCTTTTTCTCTTTATATTATTCTATCATTGACCTTAGTTATACCACCTAAAATCTTTCTTACTTTCTTCAGCCCTTTTTACCTTTCTATCTCCTTTTTTCTTTCTCTCTCTTTCTATTATCCTATCTTTTACAATATCTACCATATATACTTGAATATAGTTTTTGTGATCCGTGTTTTTTTGCATTATACACAAGTAATTGTTTTGAAATGGTTAAAATCTTTAGTGACATGTTTCACTATACACAGCTAATTTTTAAGAAAAAAAAAAATTCAGGGGTCACACTATATATAAAGTCAGCTTATATACAAGTATATATGTTATACCGGAATCTCTCAGGTCACTCTTTCTCACTCTCTCCCCACTATTTTCCTCCCCTTCTCTTTTTCTCTTTCTTTCTTTGTTTCTTTCTCTTTCTTTCCCTCTTTTTCTTTCTTTCTTTCTTTCTTTCTTTCTTTCTTTCTTTCTTTCTTTCTTTCTTCTGCTTGTCATTATCTCTTTTGTTTAATATACAAATTTATCAGGTTTTCTTCTCATTTTTCATACATTTTTTTTCTTTTATCTTCTCTTATCTTTAAAATATTTTGTGCTTTCTATCTTTCTCTCTCTCTTTCTCTTTCTGTCTCTTTCTGTCTCTCTCGTTTTCTCTCTTTCTCTTTCTTTCTTTCTTTCTCTTTTTCATTTTGTCTCCATTTCATCTATCTTTTTTCCTTTCCTTCTCTACTTTCTATTTGTTCTCCCTTCCTTTCCTTTTTCTTTTGCTCCCTCTTTCTCCCATTTATTTTTGCTGTTTTCTTTTTCTCTTCTTTTTTTCTCTCTTTTCCTTCTATCTGTTTTTTTCCTCTTAACTTTTTTCTATTTTCTTCATTTTTTTCTTTTGTCCTTCTCTTTCAAACATTTCCTTCTTTACTCTTATTTTCTTTCATGTTATTCTCAACAATATCACAAAATTTTTTCTTCATCTGCTTTCTTTTCTCTGCTTCATACCTTCTTTTTCTTTTTCTTTTTCAGCCTCATTTCTTCTTTTTCTCTTTTTCATTTATCCTTTCTATCTATCTCTACTTTTTTCTCATATTCTTTCATTGCTGTTCTTCTATAATTTTTCTCTTTGTTCTCTTTCATACTTCCTTCTTTGCCTTCCTTTTTCATTTACACTTCTTTTTCCTTTTATTCTTGCTGTTATCATTTTCTCTCCTCTTTTTCTTTTATATGTTCTTTTCTTTTAACTTTTTACTATTTTTTTCAGTTTTTTCATCTTTTCTCTTTTCAAGCAATATCTTCATTTCTCTTGTTTTCTTCCATGTTATTCCCCACAATGGGGCACACTGACATAGTGTAATCGTTAGCAAGCTTGTCTCACTAGACCAATTACAACTGATTAGTGAGTTTGATCCTCACTGGGTGTCCCATACTTTCGGCCTTATGCCACATCTAAGCTATGCTTAGTAAATCATTTCGGTACCGCGACGTGGTGTAATCGTTAGCAAGCTTGTCTCACTAAAACAATTACAACTGATTAGTGAGTTTGATCCTCACTGGGTGTCCCATACTTTCGGCCTTATGCCACATCTAAGCTATGCTTAGTAAATCATTTAAACTTTTGCGACGTGGTGTGTCGTTATAAGCTTGTCTCACTAGACCAATTACAACTGATTAGTGACTTTGATCCTCACTGGGTGTCCCATACTTTCGACCTTATGCCACATCTAAGCTATGCTTAGTAAATCATTTCGGCATCTCGACCTGGTATAATGGTTAGCAAGCTTGTCTCACTAGAACAATTACAACTGAGCAGTGACTTTGATCCTCACTGTGTGTCCCATGTTTTCGGCCTCATGCCTCATCTAAGGTACGCTTAGTAAATCATTTCGGCACATTGACGTGGTGTAATGGTTAGCAAGCTTGTCTCACTAGAACAATTACAACTGATTAGTGAGTTTGATCCTCAATGGGTGTCCCATGCTTTCAGCCTTGTGCCACATCTAAAACTATGTTTAGATTATCACCATGTTATTCCCTCACAGTCCTTTTCATTCTTCTTCACCTGCTTCAGTCTTTCTTTTTCTGGCTTAATTCCTTCTCTCTCTCTCTCTCTCTCTCTCTCTCTCTCTTTCCTATGCTTTTGCTTTTGCTTTCCTTCTTTCTTTTTTTATTTCTCTGCAAATTCTGCTCTCTCTCCCTCTCTCATTTCACCTTCCTCTTCCTTTTTTGTCTCTATTTTCTTCCACACTCATTTACTCTCCTTTTTATTACCCTCTCTTTTAATAATTTGCCTTTCTTTTTTTACTTTCCATATCCCCCCCCATCACCTTGTATATCTTGTTCTATCCTTGTGTTTACATTCTAACACATAGCTTTCAGTAAATATGACAATTTTATCTGCATTGCATCAAATTTACAATCCCATCCCCACCCTAATGCTCAATCCTGGTTTCCTTCATTCAAGATGATTTGTAAAATCTATCAGCAAACATTATCTATAAAAGTAAATAATGAAATTTGTATTTCATTTATTCCAATTTCCTTTTATTGAACTGAAAAAAATAATAAATAGTATCAGTAGTTAAGTAAAAGCTACTATAAATTTGAAGTTTTTTTTTTTTGGTATACCAATGTTTTACAATATCAGCAAGAGCAAATTATTACTAATTTTTTATTAATATTTCCTTCATTTTTTTTCTCTGGCTTTTTATCAGAACTGTCAAACTGTCATTTTATTAGATTTAGTAAGCAGTACATTTTCGAAATGAAAAAAAAAAAGATTCTTAAGTTATGTCTCTTTCTTCAGAAATATTACTTGTCAGGAACAGCTGCCTTACTTATTAAGCTACAAAGACCAGCAGATACAAATCTTAATTTTCATCTAGCATTTCCTTTATATTATTAATGTAATTTTTTTATAGGATATCACAACTCACCATTCTACATAAAGCATTACTATTTAATCATTTATCTAAAGAATTTAGACAAGACAATGACTATTACGACTATCACTATTACTACTACTAACACTATTATTACTACTACCACTATTACCACAAGGTGTCAAGAAGCAAAAGAAAGAAGTACTGCTCCCAATTAGACTTATTAGAATTTTTTTATCAGAAAGTAATGTAAAATAATTACAATGTGAATATAAAATAATTAAAAATAATACAATACACTAAGTTTTGTTGTGTCCAAAAAAGATAAAAAATTAATTATACTGTCAAAAATAATTATAATAAAATAATTATAACAATTATAAATATCATTAATTTACTCTTTTTAAACCAATGAGAATTGACTCCACTTTTCTCCTCTACATGTGAAAACATGACATGCTCACTATTAGACAAGTAGTCAACACAGAGAGGTCATTGACACATGCATCAACAAAAATTTTGGCTCCTTTTCCTTTTTCAGACTAAAATAGTAACATTTATCTCTTCACACAATAAAAATTTGGGGTAAGAAAATCCCAGATGCTTGTTGTATTTTCTAATTAAATTATCTAGACACATCTATAAAAAATATACAATAAAAAATGTAGTGCATACATTTTCTTTATCTTATCCTTCTATCAGATTCCGATCCTTATTTGATCAATATTAACCTCAAACTCACAATTTTACTCATTATTACCGTCTCTCGTTTCTCCAACATCACATAACAAACAAATAATAAATAATATTTGTTTTGTTGTTACCACATCTTGTCATTTCTCATTTTTACAAATATTATTGTACATTGTTTAAAGATAGAGATCTGTTTCTATGGCTTGTCATAACCTGATTTTCTATGTAGGTCAGAACTCACAATTTTACTCATTATTACCATCTCTCGTTTCTCCAACATCATATAACAAACAAATAATAAATAATACTTGTTTTATTGTTTCCATGTCTTGCTGTTTCTCATTTTTACAAATATTATTGTACTTTCTTTAAAGATATTTCAGTTGATAAAAAAATTGATAAAAAAAAGAATTTGTATTGTCTTTTCTCAAATGTTTTCACTTATTGAAACTTTGTTGAATAATGTACAGGGGGTCCTTGACTTATGTTAGAGATCAGTTCCAATGGCTTGTTGTAACCTGATTTTCAATGTAGGACAGAACTCACCTACATAAGAACCCATGAGACTGCCTTACTAAGGGCAAAATTTCTTAATGAAGGGCAAAATTTCCCCAAGAAATGACACAAATGAGAGATAGTAAATGTAGCACAATCCAATGCAGCATAAAGTTGGTGAAAAAACAACACCGTCTTCTTCATATAGTGCCGCATAACGATGTATTATATTATGAGAGATGGTGTTGTAACCATGAAATGCCATATGCTAGGTTCAATATAAACTGAAGACCTTCTGTATATCTTTTTTATGAGCCAGTAATTCACATTGTGGTGTCATGGATATCAGTTCAGCATGAAAAATTGGAGAGTCAAATTCGGATTCCAGTTGAGTTTGTCACATTTACTTATGCACAAAATACTCTTGGGAAAAGTATGAATCCATCTCTTCTCATTCCAGCCATGGGTTTTAATAGCAGAATGGAATGGGTTCTTTAGCCTTAGTTGGCAACCAGTCTACCATAGAAAGAAATGGCAACCTATTGCAGGAAAAAATCTTCTAGTCAGTTATGTATCAAAAGAGACAAGATTACCCAAGTGTGTATCATGTATGGCACTTGACTGACTGAATTCTATATTTTGAACTGGTTATCTTGCCTTTAATAACAAGGTGCATAAAATGAAATTATTGCACAAGCTTTTTTGTAAAAGTTATATTTTGTTCATTGTTTTTATGTCAAAATAATAAATGTTTACACTATTTACATTGTTCAGACTATTGTCCTCATTTTTATTGTCATATTTACCTTCAACATCTGCCTCTATTTCTGAGAAGAGGTATATTAACTATTTACACTATTTACATTGTTCAGACTATTGTCCTCATTTTTATTGTCATATTTACCTTCAACATCTGCCTCTATTTCTGAGAAGAGGTATATTAACTATTTACACTATTTACATTGTTCATACTATTGTCCTCATCTTTATTGTCATATTTACCTTCAACATCTGCCTCTATTTCTGAGAAGAGGTATATTAACTATTTACACTATTTACATTGTTCAGACTATTGTCCTCATTTTTATTGTCATATTTACCTTCAACATCTGTCTCTATTTCTGAAAAGAGGTATATTAACTATTTACACTATTTACATTGTTCAGACTATTGTCCTCATTTTTATTGTCACATTCATAACGTTTCTGCTGTCATACACTCCAGCCTTCTTTATGTGCTATATGTTGGAATTTTGAACCAAACTCTTTATTTAGTCCATTGGGGTAGATTTTTCTAGTTCCACATGACATGCCTCTTCCAGATATCTCAGTTTCAGTTAATTCCTTTTAGTAACTCTCCAGGTTTTTGTTCATTGAACTCACAACTCTTTGAGTCAAGTCACTGGATTACTTCAACCAACGCTTTTGTCCACGACGCCAAGTGTTCTTGGAGATTTTTCTAACTTTCAAATTTTACATTGGAGTTTCGAGTCTTGCTTGTTTTTATATGCACCTTATTCAATAATCAACATGAGAGAGGTGACATTTTCTCTTACCTGACTCTCTCCGTGAAAAAAAATTCTTTTATTATTAAAGGCAGTAAATTGATGGAAAGCATCTGTAATCTGTAATTGACCAATCAGAACGGTATAATCTTCCATCAGGAAAATTTCAGACCCTACAACTCTTCGTTAACCAATAGAAATTGGTACAGCCTTGATAGGATGTCCTACTCCACCTGCTTTACTCAATTGACCGTTACACTTTCTGATTACCACTAATTTTGATACCTACAAAATTCTCTAAATGTGAAGAACTTCAATTCTGTGGAAGCCTTATAAAAAATTTTATTTCCTACCAAATCCCAAATCTTGTGCCAGACAAAAAAGTTAGTAGAAACAGCAAGTCACTATAATAGGCATGAAATTATAAAACAAGACAACCACTGCATAACATTTTTAAAAGAAAAAACATTTATTTTACAATATTACAAAAAAAAATAGTTAGAGATACAAGGTTGCACAAAAATTTCCTTTTGTGTGACTATTATGGGAGATAACAATTTTTTTTTAATAGAAACATATTTATTCAAACATTTTTTACAAATCTGTTTCATTGTTAGCTGATTAATTAATTTCAGAAATGTTTTATTTAACCACCGATTCCTTCACTGTTTTGTCAATTTCTCTTACTCTGAAGTCTAAAATTTTCTCTGATTCACAGCCATACTCAATAAAATTTCTTTCATCATTTGAGTCTTATCACAATCACCATTGCAATGTCTCAAAAGTTTCCCTCTCGTAAGCCCAGAAATTCTACACAGAATATTTTCTCCAGGTTGTATTCCACAAAGCTCTCATTAAAAGTTTCTACAAAGGGATCCACATGTCCCCAGTTTGGTTCTAATATGAAATTCACATGTATAAAGGGGCAAAAAGAATACTGAGAAACTGGATTACAGTAATTATCTTCAGTGGATTTTTCATGGGTTTTAGAAAAAACAATTTGATTGGGACTCAAGAAATTATTTACACTCCCAAATAGAATTATCCCTTCAAGAATCTGCCAAGCAGATCCATTCACACATTCAATCACTTGTATGGATCCCATGTACTGGATTAAATCCCCACCTACAAGACCATAAGTGGGAATGGAATTTTCACCTTCCTCAAAATTAGCTGCCAATTTATAATTTAACCTGTTTGGATTTTCCACAACATCATGAAAGCCATCAAGATTAAATTCAGTATCAAACTCATTCTCAACCAGAATAGGTATGGAATGATGATGAAATGCAAATACAAATTTTGCTCCTCTCAGTTTCCTTTGGTTGTCACCAAAAAATGTCTTTACTTTAAACTCTGAAGAAGATAGACTCAACTAATTAAGACTAGATTAAACTCCGATAGAAAAAATCATTTTCAATGATATTAGCTGATATATTATTCGTGTCAGAAATTTCACAATTTTTCTCAGCGTCAGAAATATCACAAATCGCAAAATTTTCATAATCAACAAAAACCCTGGATATTTCATTAACTTAGCTTATACTTCTACTACATCACATCAGAATTGTCCAAACATATAATCATCAGGCTCTGATTCTTCAATATTAATATCAAAGTCAATAAAATCTATTTGGTCATTAATATTCTTCATGGTTTCTAACCATCTGTTAATCACTTGCTCCTGAGCAGGGTGATGCACTTTTAGAATAAATTTCTTTTGATCTTCAATAAGCTTGTAGACCCCTCAATCCTTTCTTTGAACATATATCTCCTTTTTAATAGTCTAGA